GCCGGGCCAGCGGCCTCGGCCTCCCGCGCCGGCCCGTGGCCTTGCCTTTGTTGTCCTTGATGTCCACGGCGGCCTGGGCCTCCAGCAGCAGGCTGATGAGCTCCGTGTTGCCGTTCAGGGCCGCGTGGTGCAGGGCGGAGAAGCTGGGGGCCGCGGAGAGCCATGTTGCCCAGCCCCCCCTGCGCCCCGCCCCGCCCCCCCGCGCCCACACTCACCCATCCGGGTCCTGGAAGTTGACGTTGATCTTCTTGGTGGAGCCCAGGAGCTCTGCAGGCAGGAGAGACGGGAGGGAGGCTGCGCCCGGCCGCACCGCTCAGAGCCCGAGGCTGGCAGAGCCGCGCCGGTGGGCGGGAGCCGGCTGGCCAGTCTGGCTCCCAGAAGGGCCCAGATGGACGGGGGCGGCCCGGAGGCTGGCCGTCCGGGTGCTGCTCGAGGACCTGGCGGGGCAGAGCGAGCGCTGGCACCGCAGCCCGGGGCCCGGCAGGGCGCTGTGCCCGCAGCCACCCCGCCCGCGGCCGGCCTCACCGTGATGATGTCCCCGGCCTTCACGTTGAGGCTGGTCAGGTCGTAGTTGTTGCAGTAATCCTTGGTCGCCCGGACCTGCAGGGCCGCCGAGGCCTCTGGGAACACAGGACAGGGGCCAGTCCCGCGCCTGGCCCGCCCCGCGCCCGGCCGGCCGCCGCCCACCTCGCAGCAGCTGCTTGATCTCCTTGCCGGCCTGGGATGCGGTGAACTGGCGCACGATGTCCAGAGCCGTCTGGCTGTAGGCGTTCTTCACGTGGGCGTTGATCCCATTCTGCATGGCCAGAGCGCGGCGGTCAGCACTGGGCCGCCGGGCAGAGCCCATCTCCGCGGTGATCTTCTTCCTGTGGCCGGGCTTGGTGACCCCGATGGCCGTGAGGTCCTGGGCAGGAGAGGAGCCGTTAGCCGCGGCCAGGGCAGCTCAGGGCCGGGGCGCCGGCGCGGGCCACCCACCTCGGGGGTCATGCGGCTGATGGTGGGCAGGTCGTAGCCGGCGCTGGTGAAGTTGGGGGCGTAGAGCTGCAGCTGGAAGGTGGCCAGCCACTGGCCCACGGCCTCGGCGCTCTGGAAGACACAAGGCAGCGCTGCAGGCCGGCCCGGCTCCTCCGCTGGCCGCAGGCCCACGGCCCCGCTCTGCGTCGCTGCTCCTGTGGCCAGGCTCCTCCTCCGCGTCCACCAACGTCCGGCGTCCCGCCCTGCGGCCTCCGTCCCTGCTCTCGACCAGGAGCGTCCGGCGGCTGTGGGGTCACAGGCCTCCGGGCCGTCGGCTGGGCC